ATCAGTGGTGTCATACATGGGTAAAAGCATGGCCCTAGAGTTTAAGAAAACTTGGCTCTAGTGTCAAATGAGTCACCAGTTATACCTATTTTGTAGGACAAAACACCTTATCTCTCTGGGTCTCAGTTTCCTCACAGTGAGGGATTGACCCTGGTGATTTGACCTGCTCTGAGATTCCATGATCCTATTATGTTCAACTACTGTGAAAATTGACCACAGTTAATTCAGTCCTTAGTAGTTCATTTCAGGCTCATCTTTTTTAATGTTTTGGTGAGAAAAATAAGAAAGAGACTTGCTAGAAATTGACAGAGAGAGCGCCATTCAGGGAGACAATCTTATCCTTCAATAATACCAATTTTATCCACTTTAGGAAGGTCAGATTAATTTATCCTGCAACTCTTTGCTTGAGCCTTTTTTTTTTCCTCCCAGAAGTTCTACCTCTCAGAATTTGCTAAAAAGTTTCTCTATTCTTTGAATTTTTTGTATATTGAGGGCAAGTGTTCATCTTTCTCATGTATATGTAAGTTTCTAGGGTACTTAATTTCTTAATATTTAGAAGTACATATTCAATGAATGCTATTTTTCTTTTTATGAAAGCTCATAAATGTAAAAATATTTAATTTTCTTTTCTACATTATTTGAATTCTTTTTAATTCTTGTGATGGATATTTGATTTTAATACACTTTTAAATATAAAATAATTTTAGATTTATACAAAAGTTGTGCAGATAACCCACACCTGATTTTACCTATTATTAATATCTTACATTAACATGATACACTTATTACAATTAATGAGCCAACACTGACACATTATTATCAACTGAAGTTCACATTTTCCTCAGATTTTCTTAGTTTTTGCCTAATGTCTTTTTTTCTGTTCTGAGATCCTATCTATGATATCACATTTCACATAGCCCTGTTTCCTTAGGCTCCTCCTGGTTGGTACAGCTTCTCAGACTTTGCTTGATTTTGTTGACTTTGAAGATTTTGAAGGAGTTCTGTTCATGCATTTTTTTTTTGTTGTTTTTTTGTTTTTTTTGTTTTTTTTTGAGGCAGAGTCTTGCTCTGTCGCCCAGGCTGGAATGCAGTGGCAAGATCCCGGCTCACTGCAAGCTCCGCCTCCCGGATTTACTCCATTCTCCTGCCTCAGCCTCCCGAGTAGCTGGGACTACAGGCGCCCGCCACCTCGCCCGGCTAGTTTTTTGTATTTTTTAGTAGAGACAGGGTTTCACTGTGTTACCCACCGCCAAGAAGTTTTTGGCTTTAGTAGAGACAGGGTTTCACTGTGCTGCTGTTGTTAGCCAGGATGGTCTCGATCTCCTGACCTCGTGATCCACCCGTCTCGGCCTCCCAAAGTGCTGGGATTACAGGCTTGAGCCACCGCGCCCGGCCTGTTCATGCATTTTGTAGAACGTTATTGAGTGCCTGTGAGAGCTAGGTGCTGTGATGGATACATTGTGTGTTTATCAGTGGGGTCAGTCAGGAAACAGATACCACCCTAACTATTTTGAGAAGAAAGGAATTTAATACAGGGGATTAGGTGCTTAGAAAACCACTGAATGTTCTCCAAGAGTGAAGGTCAGGAAAGGCTGTCGCGTGTTTTCTATTTGCCGTAGATTTTTAAAGGATCAGGAAATTGCTGCTTTTTCTCATGTTAAGAAAATTTATAAAATGTGGAGCATCAAGGAAGATGACTCAAGGAGAGAAGGTCAAATGACTGCTTGTCACTGCCAGAGGAAGAGAAATATGCTTCGGCCATCTTCTGTCTTCCAAACTTGCCAAAATTGGTAGAATCTAATTTTGTAGAACATTTTTCAGTAGTGATTTATGTTGCGATTTGCTTATGATTACACTGGTGTTATGGGAATTTGGGAGGGAGACCACAGAAGCAAAGTGTCATTATCATCATGTCATAGCAGGGGTACATACTAATCAACATACGCAACCACTGTTGATATTCACTTTGATTATCTGGCTAAAGTAGTGTTTGTCAGGTTTCTCCACTGTAGAGTTATGTTCCCCTCCTTGAGAATGGGGTATCTTTGTAAATGATTTGGAATTCTTCGGCATAAGAAACTTATTAGTTTTCTCTCATCTATTTATTTAATTAGCTATTTATATTAGTATGGGTTAATGGATATTTATTTTATATTTTAGGTTATAATCGAATATAATTTTATTATTACTGTTCCTGCTTTGGCCATTAGGAGCTCTTGCAGTTAGCTCATGTGCCATTATTTTGTCATATACCTATCAACGTGGGTTCGTTTCTTTTTATTCTTGAGTAAAATAGGCTCAAGACTCATCTTGTACATTTACTGCCCCAGTCTTAGAATCAGATATTTTTCTAAAGATATTTGGTTCCTTTATTGGAGAAAGGTATTAGAAACCAAGATCTGGCCTTTCAGTGTGGCTACTGGTGTGTCGTCTCTTGTAGGTAATTATAGTTGACAGAACAAGAAAATGTATATGTGTATGCTAAGCTGTGCATAAACACACACACACATGCACATCTCTAAACATTTCCATCAGCATCTATATTAAGCTAGACAGGAGTTCATACTGATGTTCCCAACTGTAAACATTACCACATGGATTTTTCTTGTCTTGTCTCTTTGCTTGTCTGTTATCTACCACTCCAATAGTGAGAAATCTTACTCTCATCATCCATCATCCATTTACTTTATTGTAAAATTACAATATACATGTGTAGTTTTTAAATAACTGTTAACTATATCCCCAGGGAAAATACCTTTATCAAGGAGAGTATAATGCTTATGTTAAGTTTCCTTTGCATTTAGTCTTACAGTATTTACTCCTTTCCAAAGTTACTTAGATGAGCACACTCTTCAGCAAAATTATTCCATGCATTTTTTCATGCATTTTTAATAGTTATGTTCTTTTGTCATGGTCTGCATTCCGTATTTGAATGTTTCCTTGTGAATGCCAACTTAATGTCTTTGGATATTCTGTTTTCTTTCTTTCAGTTACTTCTCATCCCTTTCTTTCTTCCCACCTTCCCATGAATGTATCTGCTAGCACGCCATTTCTTGCATTGCATTATGATTATTTGTTTACATATCTATCTTATTCTCTACTGATATAGTTTGGATTTTTGTCCCCACCCAAATCTCATCTTGAATTGTAATTCCTAATGCTGGAGATGGGGCCTGGTGGGAGGTGTTTGGATCCTGGAGGCAGATCCCTTATGGCTTGATACTGTCTTCATGATAGTGAGTTCTTGCAAGAACTCATCATTTAAAAGTGTGTGGCTCCTCCTGCTCACTCTTTCTCTCTCTTGCTCCTGCTTTCACCATATGAAGTTCCTGTTTCTGCCTCGCCTTTTACCATGAATAAAAGCTTCCTGAGGCCTCCTCAGAAGCAGGTGCTGGTTGGCATTATGTTTCCTGTACAGCCTGCAGAACTGTAAGCCACATAAACCTTTTTCTTGTGTATTACCTAGTTTCAGGTATTTCTTTATAGCAATGCAAGAATGGCCTAATACCACCCACTACACAGTATACTCTTCCTGAGCTGAAATTATCTTCTCCCTAGTGCCTAGTGTGACATTTGTGATACAGTAAGTGCCAATTAAATGTTTGTATCAATGAGTCTTTGAGTCTTAGGTGAACAGAGTAACATTGTCATATACCAGGCTTACATAGTTGGGTTGCCTTCAAATAGAAAGTTAAGCTGCTTTTTAGGTGTTTACCTGTAAAATGTGACCTTATGCAGTGTAATATCCGAGAGTGGAGTCTCTGTCATCAATACGTCTAGCAGTGGATCCTGGATCCACCATTTACAAGTTATGTGACCTTGGAAAGAGAACTTAACTTCTTTATCCCCCAGTAAAACCTAAGTAATAATAAAATCACCTCACAGCATTATCCTGAGTTGAATGAGAAAATACTCATAAAAGCATTTGACACAAGGCCTAGCACATATGGCTTTAAAAAGGCAAACATTATTATTATTGAATTACTTTCATATAATGTTATCCTTAAGAGGCATATCTACATTATTCTTTCTCCTTTTCCATTTCCTTTGATAGAATAATTTAATCTAAGTACTATTCCCTTATTTCTACAGATTTGATTATTTTCCTCCTAATATTTGTGTGTGTGCATGTCCTTTTCCTGAGCAGTGAGTAGAATAATTATTTCTCAGAACATACTCCCTAGTTTGGCTTCTGGCTTGAGAGGTAATTATTTTGGCATTATCTTCCACTGCCCTCCATTTGCCATCTGTTGGCAACATCATTGAAATCATCTGAGTCTTCTGTAGTCTGGCAGTATTTTATCTTTTTATTGGCTCTACCTCCAACTTAAGTTTTATCTCCAAAATGCGGAATGTGGCTAATTTCTGAAGTAGGCCTGAATATTTTGGGGTTTTGTAGGACATCTGTAGTTTGCAATTTGGAAAGGTACCTGTCTTCCTTCCCAAAACCCTATTAAATATGAGAGAAAAGAATAACTTGAAAGTAAAAAGTGGCTGAATTTAGTGTTAATTTTTATTTGTGCTATCATTTTATTAACTCAGAACTATCCAAAAAAATGACCCGATTTTGTAATTTCTACACTACAAGTGGAAATTACCTTTTAACACGGAGACATTTTTAAAGCAAATCCATGCCTTACAATACTTCAACACTGTCTAGTTCTGGATCCTGTCAATTTCCCCATAGGTCTTCCAACTGCTTGATGTTCTTTTAAAATGCCATTTTCAAGGACTGTTCAACAGGCTGGGTTTGCATCCCCAGAATCACTGCCTTTCATGTCATATGAAGGATATTCTCACTCTGTCACATCCTTCTTTTCCTGTTCACATTTGTTATTTATCTTGCATCTGGATCTGTGCCAAAGCCACCTGTAAATCTTAACAGAGTGCCTCTTAGCCTCTGAATTCCCTTTATCTGTCATGGAAGCATATTCTTGAAAGAACTCCAGGAGGGTAGTTATAATGAGTGATCCTCTCATTTTCCCCATTCTTTCTTTCAGACTTGCCAAAGAAGCTGCTTATTTCACAGAAGGACGGTGCTGGATGAAAGATGCTTCCTTGAAACTGAGAGACTGCAGCCTTAGACAGGTCTCTTTGAAGAGGTATTTGATTTGCATTTTAATTGTTGGAGCTAAAAATCTGTGGACATGAACTATTGAAAATACTAGCTCAAAACTTTAGTTATCTGCATTGTTTCTGTTTGCATTCTGTACAGTCTGTCACTTAGGAATATACTGAAATAAATTAAATATGCATGTTTGGATACACATTAGAATTTCACATTTACTTGATAAAAGCTGCAACTATCCCTTAGACAAAAAGTACATACATAAATAACAAAAAGAATGATAATGTCTAGAGTTAGTAAAAGCGTGGGAAGTAGTTACAATCATTCTTACATCTTGCAGAAAAATATTGATTGCAGCAACATTTTGGGGAAATTAATCTGGCAGCATCTATCCTAGCTTTGAGTCTCTCATATTCCTTTATCAATTCATTTAATAAAAATCAAGTGAGCATTTACTATGTGCCAGGCACAATTTTAGTTACTGGGGATATGGCAGTGGTAAAAGTAAGTCCTTACCCCTGTGAGTGGTACTCTTATTTGGAGTAGGACTGGAAACAGAAAATAAACAAATAAACAAGTAAATCCAAAGTATGTCAAATGTAATTAATGCTTTGAACAAAATAAGGTGAGGTAGGAGGAGAAGAGCTACTTCTTTTGGGGAGGTATGTTACTGGTTTTATTTAGCATTTAGCATGTTCTGGAAGGGCGCCGCTAAGAAGGTAACACTTGAGTGGAGGAGACCTGAAGAATGTGAGAGAGTGGGGTGTGCAGAGACCTACGCAAAGAGAGCTCCAAGTAGAGGGAACAAGCAAATGCAAGAAATTCCAATGTGAAGGCTTGCATTGTGTTGGATTCAGGGAATAGTGTTGAGGCCAGTGTGTCTGGAGTGAAGGAACTGTGGTGGGGAGTGGTAGGAGATGGGGTCAAAATGATACCGAGGATGAAGATGAGCAATTCACAAAGAGACACAGGTCATCGAAGGACTTTGTCTTTTGCTCTAAGAGAACTGACAGACCACTGATAGATTGGGGCAGAAGACTGACAGAGTCTAAGTTACAATGTTTATGTACATGATAAAAGAGCAAGTACAGAACAGGCACACTAGTTAGACGATTGCAGCAATCTGGAGGCTATTGCTTTTAATTTCTGTGTAAATAAACACATCAGAACATAAGGCTCTGTGTGCAGGGGTGTTTGTTGCAGCACTGTCTTATGTCACCTAATTACAGAAAACACTGAATGCATACTATATCCATATGGGACTGGTTGGATAAATACTGCTACATCCATACAATGGAATAGCATATATGTATTAAAAGAGTGAGTTAGGACTGGGTGTGGTAGCTCAGATCTGTAATCCCAGCACTTTGGCAAGCCTAGGCAAGAGGATTGCTTGAGGCCAGGAGTTCAAGAGCAACCTGGGGAGCATAATAAGACTCCATCTACAAAAACGCCTCAAATATTAAAAACTTAGGTGGGCATCGTGGTGTGCACCTGTAATTCCAACTACTCAAGAGGCTGAAGTGGAAGGATTGTTTGAGCCCAGGATTTTGAGGCTGCAAGGAGCTATGATCACATCACTGTACTCCAACCTGGGCAACAGGGTGAAACCTGTCTCTTAAAAAAAAAGAATGAAAAAGAAAAAGAGTGAGTTAGAATTTTGATCTACTTGGTTTGTTGTCAAAGCTTGTGCTTTTCTGTGGTTTAACTCCTACATTACATAACTTCAAGTCAAATGGTTGTTTTGTTAATGAAAAAGGCCATGGGTCTTTGAAGGCTAGAAACCTGTTAACATTTATTTTCATACTCAGACAATTCATGATCTAGCATAATTGTTAGCGTGTAAGACTCACTCAACACTTAATTATTGAATAAATTGAATGGGAATCATAACTACATATCCTGTAATTTTTATATTTACCATAGAAATTACATATACTAACACTGAGGAAAAATTTTCATAATTTACTTCTTTTTTCAAATGGAAATCTCCCTTGTGAGTAAGATTATAGAATAGCACAAACATGCAGAATGTCTTTGTGTGTAAATTAGTGAGCATCATTTGAAGAAGAGCTATAACTTACTATTTGGGATCTCTGTATATACTTTGCAAGGGAAATCACATCTGAATGTTCTTTATCGTATCATGTGCAGAACTCTGAATTCTGAATGAAATTTAGGTTCAGGCAGTTAAGTCCAAAAAAGTTTGTTCTTTATGTGGATTTATCTACTTCAACTTTTATTTTAAATTCAGGGGTTATATGTGCAGGTTTGTTACAAGGGTACATTGCGTGCTGCTAAGGTTTGGGTTCTTTACATTTAAAGAATGTAAAGAGGTAGGAGAAGAGCTACTTTTTTGGGGAGGTATGTTACTGGTTGTATGTAGCATGTTCAGTAAGGGCCCCTTCCCGTACATTTGAAGAATATAAGGAACTTTGGGTAGGACTAGCTTGACCTCTCATTTTGATACATTTTTTTAAAAGACAAATATCTGTCCAGACATGGTGGCTCATGCCTGTAATCCCAACATTTTGGGAGGCTGAGGCCAGTGGATTGCCAGAGGTCAGGAGTTCGAGACCAGGGTGGCCAACATGTTGAAACCCCATCTCTACTAAAAATACAAAAATTAGTTGGGTGTGGTGGCAGGCGCCTGTAATCCCAGCTACTTGGTAGGCTGAGGCAGGAGAATCACTTGAACCCAGGAGGTAGATGTTGCAGTGGGCCGAGATCATGCCATTGCACTCCAGCCTGGGTGACAAGAGTGAAATGCCATTTCAAAAACAAAAAAGACAAATATATTTGTTTTCCTAATAGTTAATTATTTACACTCTTCATTTTTCGGGTATCTAAAGCTTTGATTCTCACTGCAGTGAACATTTAAGATAATTTTTCAGTAGGATTTACTTGCCCAATACCTCCTTTACAAGCTTCCTTGAAGTAATATTATCCTAATGTTGCTCTTGAGTTGTTTTAAGCCCTCAATATATAAACAAAACATTGAAAATATTCTTTTATCCTAAAGACTATGCATATAGAGATATTTCAAGTGATATTAAGCATAAGTAGAAAAATGTACATAGAAGAATGTTATTATCCATGATCTTATCAGCTGATTATATCCATAAAACATTTTGTTGAATAATCTTCCATGCTATCATTAATTCATTCATTGGCTCATTTATTTAGTCCTTCAGTTTGTTTAATAACTGCTTTCCTACCTTGTGCCAGATACTGGGTGTTGGGAATATATTAGTAAAATAAGGCTATGAGGTCTTCGACCTCAAGGAGTAAATAATACAGGAGGAGAATCAGACAATAAAGATGTATTTATGTGTTGTAGGAAGTCAGGGACCCCAAACAGAGGGACCAGCTGAAGCCATAGCAGAAGAACATAACTTGTGAAGATTTCATGGACATTTATTATTTCCCCAAATTAATACTTTTGTAATTTCTTATGCCTATCTTTACTGCAATCTCTGAACATAAATTGTGAAGATTTCATGGACACTTATCATTTCCCCAATCAATACCCTTGTGATTTCCTATGCCTGTCTTTACTTTAATCTCTTAATCCCATCATCTTCCTAAGCTGAGGAGGATGTATGTCACCTCAGGACCCTGTGATGATTGCGTTAACTGCACAAATTGTTTGTAGAACAAATTGTTTGTAGAGCATGTGTGTTTGAACAATATGAAATCTAGGCACCTTGAAAAAAGAACAGGATAACAGCAATGTTCAGGGAACAAGAGAGATAACCTTAAACTCTGACTACTGGTGAGCCGGGTGGAACAGAGCCATGTTTCTATTCTTTCAAAAGCAAATAGGAGAAATATCGCTGAATTCTTTTTCTCAGCAAGGAACATCCCTGGGAAAGAGAATGGCCCCTGAAGGTAGGCCTCTGAAATGGCCCCTTTGGGGGTGGCTGTGTTTTACGGTTGAAGGCAAAGGGATAAACTAACATTAGCAAGTTCTTTAGTGGTGATTTGTGAGCAATGTATAATGCACAGTATTTGTAGTCTTTTGTCTCTCACTCCCTTCCTGCCCTTTCCCCTTGAGTCCCCAAAGTCTATTGTGTCATTCTTAGGCCTTTGCATCCTCATAGCTTACCTCCCACTTATAAGTGAGAACATATGACGTTTGGTTTTCTGTTCCAGAGTTACTTCACTTAGACTAATAGTCTCCAATCTCATCCAGGTCCCTCTGAATGCCATTAACTCATTCCTTTTTATGGCTGAGTAGTATTCCATCTCATATATATATATATCAGTTTCTTTATCCACTCATTGATTGATTGGCATTTGGGTTGGTTCCATGATTTTGCAATTATGAATTGTGCTGCTATAAACATGCATGTGCAAGTATCTTTTTTGTATAAAAACTTCTTTTCCTCTGGGTAGATACCCAGTAGTGGGATTGCTGGATCAAATGGTAGTTCTACTTTTAGTTATTTAAGGAATCTCCATACTGTTTTCCATAGTGATTGTACTAGTTTTCATTCCCACCAGCGGTGTAGTGGTGTTCTCTGTTCAGTGCATACATGCCAACATCTACTATTTTTTGATTTTTTGATTATGGCCATTCTTGCAGGAGTAAGATGGTATCACACTGTGGTTTTGATTTGCATTTCCCTGATTATTAGTGATGTTGACCATTTTTTCATATGTTTGTTGGCCATTTGTATATCTTCTTTTGAGAATTATCTATTCATGTCCTTAGCCCACTTTTTGATGGGATTTTTGCTTTGTTCTTTTTGATTTGTTTGAGTTCATTGTAGATTCTGCATATTAGTCCATTTTCAGATGTACAGATTTTTGAAGATTTTGCCCACTCTGTGGGTTGTCTTTTTACCCTGTTGACTATTCCTTTTGCCATGCAAAAGCTCTTTAGTTTAACTAAGTCCCAACAATTTATCTTTGTTTTCACTGCATTTGTTTTTGGGTCCTTGATCATGAAATTCTTGCCTAAGGATTTCATGCAATGTCTAGAAGGGTTTTTCCAATGTTATCTTCTAGAATTTTTATAGTTTTAGGTCT